GAATAGCTCACATAAATAGGTAAACATGCTTAATGATGGCATATGTGTCAGTTTTCTGTATTATCACAAACTTAGTGGCTTAAAACTCATATTTATTACCTAATAGCTCTGGAGGTTAAAAGTCTTAAAATCAAGGTGTCAGTAGGGTGGAATTACTTTTGAGGGTGCATGTGAGAACCCATTTTTGTGTCTTTTTTGAGTTTCTAGTGTCTACACTAGGGGTGTCGAACTCAATCAGAGAAGGGGCCAAAATCTAAAATCCAGCCTAAATCGCGGGCCGAATGGTTTACTGAACAGTCATAAACTGTCATTGTGATGGAAATGCAGCGGAGTGCAGTGATGACAGCACAGTGCAGGCCACATTGCAAGGCCTGGCGGGACGGATTTGGCCCGCGGGCCTTGTGTTTGACACATGTGGTCTACACAAATTCTTTAGCTGTGGCCCCTTCCTTATACCATTTCAATCTCTGCTACCATTGTCATATTTTTTTCTTTCTCATTGTGACTTTCCTGCCTCCCACTTAGAAGGACATGTGTAATTACATTGGATGCACTGGATGATCTAGTGTAAACTCCACATTTGAAAATCCTTAACTTCATCACACTTGAAGTTCCTTTTGCTATGAAAGGTAATATTCAAAGGCTTTGGTGATTAGGACATGGGCATCATTGAGGAGGGAGAACTACCATCCATATTAACTAAAAGAAAAAAAGTGAGAAATTGTATGGTCTCCTGCATCCCTGAAATGCTGAACTCAAACAGTTCATTTCTGATCATGATTTTCTGTCTATTGCCCTCATTTCCTTGATAGATCTATTTTTTCAGCCTTACTGAGACTGTCAATTCCTGGATCATTTTGTTGTGCTCCAATGCTGATCCTTTTTTCTTTCCTCCTTAGTTCCAGACCCCATGATTCATCTTTTTCACCACACTTGACACTCACTGGCTTGTTCTTTTATGGACTTACTCTTCTAAACCAAATTTTCAACTTCTTTACTCTGTCTGGTCTGTTGAGACCTCTGGGAGGAAATCTCTGAATGGTCCTTGTTATCACCAAGGTAAATTTATGATCTTTAACATCTCTGGCCACCAGTGCCACCAAGAAAACCTTCTGTGTTTTCAGTCTATGCTGCCCTCAGGCTGTATTACAAATTCCAACCCATTATCTGTTTTCACACTCTCTTCAGTCAATTCAGTGAGGTGAAAATCTTAGTCATCAAAAAGCAGTCCCTGAATTTTGTTCTTTGTCCTGCAAACCATTTCCAAGGACACTTATACCTTCCTATAACTGGGTAGTGGGAGGGGAGTGTTCCCATCCAAGGCTAAGCCAGAATTTTCACTAACCAGGAATTTTCACATTTGATTCATATTATGCTCATAGCTTTTGTTCTCTAGGTATAAGTACTATTTTTGAAATAGTATTCTGTAATTACTATCTCTTCTTTATCATCTACTAATATTAATAACTCCTCAATGATCTAGAATATAGATTCTGTTCCAACAATTACATTGAAATAACCCTGATGTACATACAGACAAATCCAAAGTCCAGTTCATCATGAAACCCCATCCCAACCTAGTTCTCCAGGTTTCTGATATAAGGTATTTTGCTATCATTGTCTTGAACACATCTTAGATATTTTGTCTCAATTATTGCACACTATGTCATTTACCAGACCTGTAGATTCAAGTTACACACACACACACACACACACACACACACACATTATTCAAATATCTTATATATATTCTAAATAGTATTTAATTTCTTAATATATACAGTGCACATAAATATTACATACTTTTTCCATATCTTTATTATAGGATCAGATATTTATGTTTATTCTTTTATACCTTTTTGAAACATTTAATTAGTTAATTTATCTGAAAGTTCATATATGGTGTGTGGTGTGTGTGTGTGTGTTTGTGTGCGCGTGTGTGGTTTAAGGGAGCAATCTAGTTTTTTATTTTTACCAAGTAATTATTCATTTGCTACAGCACCACTCATCTACTATTTATTATGCCCTTATGAATGTATATAATAAATGCAACCTTTATTACCCTCCTATATAATAAAGAGCTAATATGCTAATGGTTGTCACATGATCACGCTGTAATGACTGATCAGCAGGAGGCTGTGTGTGTGCGCGGGTTGGGCTGCATGCTTGGAGGTGTGTGTGTGGGTGGGAGGGGACTTTACAGCCTCCTCCTTCCAGACAAAGCTGCAGCGGTTGCCTGAGGCTCAGGCCAGCCACAGATAGCTGCTGCCCTGCGCAGGGCCATCCCAAGCCTCAGGCAAGCCACTGGTGATGGCTGCTGCTGCTCAAGGCCTGAGGCTCAGACAACAAGGGCCTGGCTGAGGCTCAGGCAAACCACAGTGGCACTGAAGGTTTTCTTAGGGCATCAAGATCGGCCGTGGGGAGTGGGCCCAAGCCATCAGTAGGACATCCTCTGAGGGTTCCTGTACTGTGAGAGGGGGCAGGCCGGGCTGTGAGAACCCCCGCCACCCCTAGTGCACAAACTTTCATGCACCAAGCCTCTAGTTTACTATATAGGTTGGCCGGCAGGGGTGAGGGGCTGCAGGAGTTGGCTGGCCATGGGAGGTTGGCTGTGGGGGATACAGGGTGGGACAAAAGTAGGTTTACAGTTGTGAGTATATGAAACACATAGTTTATTTTACATTACTTTTGCCCCTCCTACACACACACACACACACACACGACCTGTTTCTGGGTTTGCTTTCTATTTTTATTGATTTTTTTCTCTATTCTTGAGCCATACCACACTATTTCAATTATTTCATTTTTTATAATGTTTTAATAGCATAATATGCTTTAATTACTCATCTTCTTCAAGATTTTCCTGTTATTTTTACTTGCCTATTTTTCTGCTACATTAAAAAAAAAAATGGCCTGGACTGGTTTGGCTCAGTGGATAGAGCATCAGCCTGCAGACTGAAGGGTCCCGGGTTCGATTCCGGTCAAGGGCATGTACCTTGGTTGCGGGCACATCCCTGGTGGGGGGTGTGCAAGAGGCGGCTGGTCGATGTTTCTCTCTCATCGACGTTTCTAACTCTCTGTCCCTCTCAATTCCTCTCTGTGTAAAATCAATAAAATATATTAAAAAAAAAAAATGACCCACCATGAGAACACCAAACCAAACCCCAAATATGATCACACAATTGTATTTCAAACAGTAGTAAGGCATGAATTCAAGTTGCTATACTGCAAATTGAATCAGCTTTTTATCTGAAGCACACAGGTGTCAACTTCTTTAGGTGTCAGTTTGGTGGGCAAAGTGAGAAAGAGTTATTTGCTGGAGGAGATGGGGAATCACAGGGTCACAGAGGAATTGTCCCAGAGACTCCTTACAAATATCCCTCTCCTTGCGGTTTCCACTTCTGAGAGTCATCTGGAAAAATGGTTTTCTCTTAAATGGTGGTTTTGCCTCTTTCCTGTTATTTTTTTTAACCACATTTTTATTTTTCATTAATAACATCCATTCTATAGTTACATAAGACTTTTTTTTTTTTTTTAACCTAAAACTTTTCCTGTCCAGGTCAAAATATAACTTCTCTGGTGCTGGACCTAGCATTCCTAAACACATCAGAACAATAACAAGAATAGTGTAGTGGATATCTTACTTCTGACCTTGAAAGAAAATGCCTTTGGTTTTTGAGATGACTATTCCTTCTCATGATATGGGATGTTTTCATATTACTGATGGTATTATCAGATATAAATGTTAAACATTTTCAAATTCCTTAGAGCAACAGTGAAATCATATAATTTTTCCCCCCTTTGTGCACTGAGACAAGGTTTTTAATAAAAATCCTAGCATTAAGTCACCCTTGAATTTTTATTTATTTTTCATTTTTTAATTCTTTTGTTAATCCTTACCTAAGGATATTTTTCCACTAATTTTTTTAGGAGGGTCTGGAAGAGAGAGGGAAAGACAGAGAGAAACACTGGTGTGAGAAAAACACATTGATTGGTTCCTTCCTTCATATGCCCTGACCAGGGCCTCATCTGGGGAGGAGCCTGCAACCTAAGGGATGTACTCTTGACTGGAATCAAACCCAGAACACTTTGGTCCACAGGCTGATGCTCTATCCACTGAGCCAAACTATCTAAGACCATCTGTGAATTATTAGAATAAACCTTTTGTAGTTTTGAAAAATTATTTGTGTATTGTTGGGTTGATGTTGCCAGCATTTTAGTGAAAGCAAGTGGAATTTTTTTCTTTGCTATGTTGGCTTTGTTTTATATTAACTTTGAAAAATAATTGGGGAAGTGTTTCATCATTCTGTAATTCTGGAACATCTTGAATAACGTGAGAATTGTTACTAGAAAGTTTTCAAGAATTTGCTCAGAAAACTCTCTGGATCCAACTCCTCTTTTGGAGATAGCTAATAGAACATTTAAAATATCTTCCATAAATATAAGTCCATTTCAGCTTCCTACTTATTGAATTAATTTTCCTTGAAAATTGTACATTTCTCCAGGTCCTAAGAATTTATTGCCATAGAGCTAAAAAAATATTTTCATAGTTTAAAATTTGCTTCACAATTATGTTTATATTTGTTTTTTTTTCTCTTTGTCTTTCTTTTCAGTTAACATATCAGTAGTTTGCATATTTTAATTATATTTATATGAAATATTATAATAATCAATTTATCAATTCCACTCTTGTTTTTCTATTGCTTTACATAGTTTTTATTAGTTCCTTCATTATATTTCTCTAAAATTTATTTTTATATTTCTTACTCCATATTCTGCATTAATATTACTTAAAAATAATTATGGTCAAGCATTTTGTAAATTAACTTTTTTTCAAGAAATTATTCATTTTTGATTTATCAGAAACATACATATTATTACAATCAGCAAATTATAAGAACCAGGTTCAGTAAGCCCACTTTTAACAGGTAATAAAAACAAAGTAAGAAAGGAGACACAATGTTGTTAGGGTTTGAGATGTACCATACAGACATCAGATGAGGGATTGCTTGATCTTTATTAAAATTATAGTTTGCATTTAGGAAACAGTTCATAAGATTAAACTGTGAGATACAAAAACATTCATGGATTTGACTAAGTTGATGTACTTTTCGCTCACATTGCCTGTTTGAGGCAACTGTGACATTATTGCAAATAGGGGTTACCCAACGCATTTTCTCCAGGCTTACAGTGGGGCCGGGGTTCCTTTTTCCAGCCACCTGTAGGACAAATACTCAAATGCCTTGCTCTACATCTGCTCCTTTGATTTTTCACAAATTTCTCAACAAGAAACAAAACAGAATTTTATTCTTAATGGTATTATAATACAATTGCACAAATTAAAATCCAATGCACAATTTTAGTTTTAGAAACTAGAAGAGGGGGAAAATGTTACCATCAATCATGAATTTGGAAAGATTTCTTTAAGAAACCAGGAGGAGTTATTTTAGAAACAACTGTATTCTATTCTTATGTAGTATATTTCTCTATAAAAGGTGTCCTCCCTTGGGCTGGCAGGTGGGGGTACATTCCACCGAGTTCTAAGAGTTCCATGTGGCTTCCTCTCCTGTACTGCCAATGCCCCAGGGGAAATGGGGGTAATGAGTCTTCATGGCCGCTCAGACCAGTTCTTCCTTGTACACTTCGATCTCATTCCAATTTAGGCTTCTCTTTCTCTTCTTCCATACCTAAAACAGGCAAAGTACTTTATTTGAACATCAGATTAAACTATGAGCAGCTTTGCCAAGCTGCTTTTAAAAAAAACCACACCTCTCCTCTCTCCGCTTCTTGTCCACCCTCCTAGACTCAACCCTCTTCTCCAGTTGAGAAGGCAACTCATTTACTGCTTTCTCCAGAAACTTTCTCAGTGACCTCTCTCCCCACCCCTTTTCCTCAAATCAAGACAAATCATCTCCGGGACACACCCAGTCCTTGTGGCTTCTGGCAGTGAGGGACTCAAGTTAGTTCTTGACTCATGGAGTTTGCTCAAGAAACCCCAACCAGACTGCTTTGTAAGGATCTTGTAGAAATAGGAGGAGCTGCTGATAGTTTCAAACAGACCTTCTTCATTTTGATTTTATTCCTGTTCCTTCCCAAGACAAGGACTCTAGGTGGTTAAACGTCAAGCAATATATACAGTGCTAAGCTCATTGGGAGCTTATCAGCCACAAGAACTGTTTATTTTCATACCCACCTGTACTCAAACTCCAAGTTCTCCCTCTCTTCAACCCAAGCCTCATAGACTTTTTTTTCTCTATTAAATTTTTATTTTATTATTATTTTTTTAAAATCTTTATTGTTTGAAGCATTATGTATGTTTCCTCCCGCCTCCCTCCATCGAACTCTTCTAGGCCTTCACCACCCTATTGTCTGTGTCCCAGGGTTGTGCATATTGGCATACAAATTCTTTGATCTCTTCCCACCCATCCACCCTCCCCCTCCCACCCCCCCCTTCCCTCTGAGATTCCACAGTCTGATCTGTGCTTTCATGTCTCTGGATTTATTTTGTTCATGAGTTTATTTTGTTCATTAGATTTTACATATGATTGAAATCATGTCATACTTGTCTTTCTCTGACTGGCTTATTTCGCTTAGCATAATACCGTCCAGGCCCCTCCATGCTATCTAAAAGGGTAAGAGATCTTTCCTTTTTTTATTGCTGCTAGACTATGTTTTTCTTCCTGAGAGACTCATATGGACCAGACCGGTAAGATTTCTGTCAATTGTCTATATAGTGAATAGCTAATAGTGTTTCATTTTTTTCTAGAAATGAAAATGTTCAAGTCATTCTTATGGATCAAAGTTAACCCTGGCAAATGCTTCCCACTTATTTTCTAGATAAAGATTTTTCTTCTGATACTAAATTCTCAGAGAATTTTTGCTGGAACAAAATAACCCCAAATGTTTCCGTGGAGGGTTTGTTGGTGTTCTTTCATAAACTCAAGCTCTCCAAGGACAGAGCCTTTACCGGCTTTATCCCAGATTATATTCCTAGAACATAACACAGTGTCTGCCTCCTAGTAGGGGCACAGTTCATCTTTACTGAACCAATTAATAAACAGTAAACATAGAGGAGGTCTGAGCAGGCTGGACCGGAGGGAAAGCAGAACAAAATATGAAACTTTCAATATAAAAAAAAAAAATCATAAGCCTAACTGCAGAGGGTCACCATGATAGGGCTTCATTAGGAAAGAACCCCCCCACCCAGGCTCCTAGTATGTATTTTGTGGGTCCAGGGTGGTAGCAATAGAATGTAGACAACATGCTCTGAACAGGTGTCCTTAGATATTCTTTTAGGTTTGGTTTTCATGACTAAGGTACTGGCAGGGATCTGCACCACTTTTTCCAAAGTAATTTTCAGAATCATATTAAGGAAAACTTCAAATCCAGGAGTCAGGACATCTGAAGGGAGGAGGAGTAGGGTTGGGGGTGAGCAGGCAATGACTTAGTTGTTGGGTAACCAAGGCAAAGGCAGAAAAACACCACACAGATTCCATTCAAACAACGCACATGACTTGGGTTCCCACTTCATCCCTGTGGAGAAACTACCAGGAGCTAGCTGCTTGCTTTTCTTTTTCAACTCTGTTTCCTCCTAAGTGTTTTCCTGCAGATGGGTTGACTTGGCAGCAAGAGTGGAATCTTCAAAAGCAGGGGTGGAGAATAGGGGGTGTTCACTGACCCAGACAGGGAAAACGGCTCCCCACCTACTTTCGTTTGGCAGCTTGGAGGTAGAGGAAAAATTAGACAGCTGTAAATAATATTTGGAAGAACCAGAGGTATAATTTCCACACAAACAGTTGAAAAAAACACACACACACACACAAACCTGTCAGAGCTGAGGCAGGAGGTGCTTGCGGGAACACAGAGGAAGAGCCGAGAGACTCAGCCACCTGTGATTTTCCCAGACTGGGAGAGGGGATCAACTAGAGGGCAGCACTAGAACACCGAAGGCCTGGGTGGGCCTGGGTGGGACATGAGCTGGATGGGCAGCTGGGGGAGAAGAAGGAGGATGTTTCTGTCACATAGGCCTGGCTCGGGCCTCCTTTGTCCTTTGGTCTGCTTTTCCTGTCCCACCCCAACCTTTCATCCTTCGACACTTTAATTTCTGGTTGTATGAAGATTGACTTTAACAACACTTACCCATTGGAATTGAAATATATATATTTTTTGTAAATATGTATTTTTATTGATTTCTGAGAGGGAGAGGGAGAGAGATAGAAACATCAATGATGAGAATCATTGACTGGCTGCCCCCTACTGGGGATCGAGCCTGCAACCACGGCATGTATCTTTGACCAGAATCGAACTCAGGAACCTTCAGTCTTCAGCTGATGCTCTATCCACCGAGCCAAACCAGCTAGGGCAGAATTGAATTATTCTTAAAGTATAGAAATATTTCAGCTGTTGTAGGTTCAATTGTGTCCCCCACCTAATTCATCAGTTGAAGCCCTTCCCAATGCCTAGGACCTTGGAGTGTGAGAGCAGGCCACGGATGTGGCTGGACAACTGTTTGCTAAAGAGATTAGGCAGATAACCTGCGGATCCAATTAATCATCTCAGCAGAGCCTGGAGGAATCGGTGGGAGACCCTCTGTCTGATGATTTCGACCCCCATGGATTACATGGGAGGCCAAAGGGGTTTTGAAAAATTTGTACCAGCAGAAACATTGCCAGCATGGAGGAACAGGCAGGATGAAATGCAGGAGGAACGACTCCAAAAGAATTTCATGGGCTGGAACCTTATTGGCTCCAGAAGGTAGGGCTGCTGCCCAGGGCCAAGGATGCAGGGCCACAGCCCCCTCCTGGTGAGTCCCAAGGACAGAACATTCAGCCAAAGAGGATTATTCTCAAGCCTTAAAATTGAATGGAATTTGCTCTGCTAGCTTTTCGACTTGGTTAGGAACCATGACCCTTTTTTTACCCTGTGATTTCTTTCTTTTGGAAAGGAAGTATATATCCTATGTTTGTACAGCCATTGCATTTTGGAAACAGATAACTTTCTGTCTGGTTTCACAGGTTTATAACTGGAGAGCAATTTTGCTTCAGAATGAGTCATTCCCCAATTTTACTTTTGTGTTATTTAGATAATATTTAAAGTGAGATTTAGGACTTAAGAGTTGAGTCTGGCCAAAACCGGTTTGGCTCAGTGGTAGAGCGCTGGTCTGCAGACTGAAAGGTCCCAGGTTCGATTCCAGTCAAAGGCATGTACATTGGTTTCGGGCACATCCCTGTGGGGGGTGTGCAAGAGGCAACTGGTCGATGTTTCTCTCTCATCGATGTTTCTAGCTCTCTATCTCTCTCTCTTCCTCTCTGTAAAAAATCAATAAAATATATTTTAAAAAAAGAGTTGAGTCTGAAAAGACTTAGGGTGCTGTTGGGAACACATTTTGCGTGAATAAAGGACATGAATGTGGGGGGAGGCTGAAAGCAGTATGTTATGGGCTAAATTGTATCTCTCCCAACTAACTCCCAGTACTTTAGAATGTGACTGTATTTGGTTCTTTACCAAGTTATAATGAACTCACTGGTGTGGGCCCTAATCAAATATGACCAATGTCTTTATAAAAATAAATTTGGAGACAGCCTCACACATAAGTGAGAACTCCATGTGAACAAGAAATGACCATCTTCAATCCAAGTAGAGAGGCTTGGGACATTACTTCCCTCAGAGTCCTCAGAAGGAGCCAACCCTCCAATACCATGATTTTGGACTTCTGGCACCCAGAATTGTGAGACATTACATCTCTATTGTTAAAGTCTTCCAGTCTGTGGTCTTCATTGTAGCAGCCCCAGCAAACTAATATAATATCTACAAAGTCACATGGAATTACTTTCTTTTCAAAAGAGTAAATGATTACTTATTAATCTAGCCTATTTTAAGAGCTCTTTTCATAGTTCCTATCAGGTTGGTCTATATTGTTATTTTATAAGCTAGGTCCATGGTTCTGAGAGAACTTTCTGAATTTTCATATGTCTGATTTTCCAATGGTGACATTCTTTTGGTTCATTAGAAATAACACTATACTGAACATCTGTCAGAAGGAGGTGGCTCTGCACCCACCTTTTTTTGTGGGTTATGTAAGATTTCTGGCCTCAGTTGACTCATTATGAAAGGTAAGGGGTGGCTTAGATGATTTTCTAATCTTCTTTTTAGTTTTTTGATTCTTTAATAATGTGATTTTATCTCATAGTTGAGGACAACATACCATAGTGTAACCAAGTGAGCCATTAAAATTCATTATGAATAAAAGGAAGGGAGCTGAAATGTAGTCTTCCTACTTCTTGGGGGGATTTTGTTTGGGGTGTAAGTAAATGTACTCATGCTTGTAATACTGTAATGGATAGAATTCAGTTCATCCTAACAATATGCACACAAACACACATAGGACACACTTCTTTTAACTGGAAGTTTCAGATTAATCTACCTACCGAACCAGGCAGCTAATGGGACAGCAAAGTGGCCAGGTGAGGTTCAGGGAAAATTAGACAGCCATCTAAAGGAGGCAACTGATAATCAATTCCAAACCATTGTTGTCAGAAGAGAACAGTGGGCTCAGTGTTGCCAGATCTTAATATATTTGAGAAGATAAAAATTTTATGTGAAATCTTCCAATTTTGAAGTGTTGGTTCAAAAATAAAAAATCCCACTATGTAGGCCTAAAAAAGCTTTTTGGCAGGTAAGTTTTGGAGGAGGCCATCAGTTTATGATCCCTCTGAGATATGAAAAAGATGGCCATTTGGCATAAAACATCTGTCCCCATAGAATTATCTAGATGGTCCCGTGCAGATAAAATTAATCCCTATACTTGACATGAGTTACAAAATGTTAGTCATCTTTAACTCAAGTAGCTGAAGAGAATGGCACAAATTGAACAGGTGATTCAACAGACCCTTAGTTTCACTATTCATTTTTAACTTCTCACTCAAAGCTGCTAAAATGTAGTATTATATTAATCTAGATTGGACTTTTCTCTCTCTTGCCTTTCAGGTCATATTCTCTTAGAAGTAGTAGAACAATGGCAAATGACTAATAGAATCAAGCCCATCATATATCATTTATTGGATATACAGTATTGAATTATGGCCTTTCTCACAAAAACTTAAGAAAATTTAATTTTATTATTTTAAAAATATATTTTTATTGATTTCAGAGAAGAAGGGAGATGGAGAGAGAGAGACAGAAACATCAATGATGAGATCAAGCTCACAACCTGGGCCTGTGCCCTGACCAGGAGTCAAACCATGATCTCCTGGTTCATAAATTGACACTCAATCATGGAGCCACACCGGCCAGGCTACATTTTATTTTTAATACATTTTGAAAGTTAGCTAAATACTCTTATAAGTTAATTAGTAGAGAAAGATTACTATTCCCATTGAACAGAAAGAAAAATTATGAGAAGATTAATTTCTGGTCCCTCAAGCTGTGGCCTGAACTGAATAAAATATTTCGATACTTGTTCTAATAGACCCCTTATTAAAATCAAGCCAGCTGCTGAGAAAAGAATCCCTCAAGTTCCTCCGGGCCATTTACAATAGTATTGGCTAACACTTTGACACATACCATCTTAGAAGATCCACACACAAAAGAAGTCCAATTCAGCAATCGTGCAATGACTGTTTTATTTGTCTAATTAGGTCACTTTCCTGGCACAGTGTCTGGCACAAAGTAGGGTACTCAATGTCTGCGGAACATACGTCAGTTTCTGGTGAGGCCTAGAATGTTGTGATTAGTTCAGAGGAGATGCCCAGAGTTCTCTAAAATCCTCAAGTCAAAAATAAAAATAAAAATAAAATAAAATCCCCAAGTCATCTTGTCTTTGGATGGATTGCTGTGAGGGCTCAAGTCACTACATATCTGTGCTGCTGCTTTTTTCACCTTCCCATTCGTTTGTTATCTTACATACACTTTGGACAGGTTTTTCACAACTTGGGTAAGATTACGTGCCTTGCCAAGATGGAGGCTCTGCTTAAACAGAAACAAAAGACAAATCAAAGCGTAGGTTAAAAACTTTTTGCAGCAATGAAGTATTGCCCTTTAGTGCCTGGACTACTTTGCCCTTGAACATGACAGTCACTGGTGAATCACGTGGCCTGGGTTTCCGGTACTGCTTCAATGTCTAGCAGAATGGTGGTGAGATGTCTCTGAGGCTACTGCACCCGGGAAAGGATGATGTAAAAAGTGGAGATCTGGGTGGCTTCCATGGAGACTGGTTACATGTAATGTTTGTCTATTTCGTTGGGGGTCCTTTAGCGAAGGCAGTACTTATTAATCAGAGTGAACTCCCTAATTTTTTCCCTGTTAACACTACATTTCTCACTATAAAATTTATGGATGTGATTCTTTTCTCTTAGATTTAGATATTTTACTAGCTAATAAGATAAAGTGAGTAATGAACCTTTCAGGTAACTGCTAGGAGCTCTTAAATTAACATTGTTATTACAAAAAAGTAACTCTTCTTAAGTGATCCCGTGCTACAGAAGATTTTTCCTTCTATCTCTGCACACACTTTTTAAGTCTGAAATTCTCTTGTTTTATGCTCCCCTAAACAATACTTACTTCTCTGTGTATCCCAGATATAGCTGTTCAGAGCTTCTCCCAGCAGGTACAGAAAGTTCAAAAAGATGGTTGTAGACCCGAAGAAGATGATTCTGGCTCCCGGGCCAATGTGTTCCAGGAAGGGGTACGCCCACATCCCAGTTACATGATGCACCCAACACACCCTGCAATGGAATTGCAATGGAGACAAAGATAGGATTTATTCTCAGGTCAGATTTCAAAGTTGCTGATTTTACCAACAGGACCCCTCCCGCTATTTCAACCATGCTTCAGCAATGCCAGTCACAGCTTTGCTTCTGAGACAGAAATGCTGCAATTCCTTTCCTTTCTTTCCTTCCTTTCTTTCCTTCCTTTCTTTCTTCCTTCCTTCCTTCCTTCCTTCCTTTCTTTCTTTCTTTCTTTCTTTCTTTCTTTCTTTCTTTCTTTCTTTCTTTCTTTCTTTCTTTCTTTCTTTTTTTTTTTCTGAACTAATTTTAAATTCACAGCAGAGTAGAAAATATGGTATAGAGAGCTCTAGTATGCCCTTTGCTCAATTTCCCTGCATGGTGGCATCTTGTATAACCATGGTTAAACAGAAGCAGTGAACATTGGTACACAATACTACTGACAGATTTTATTTGGAATTTCTGTTTTCCCATTCATGTCCTTTATCTGCCGCATTTGGTAGTCACGACTCCTTACTGTCCTCCAATGTGGCAGTTCCTAAGTTCCTCCTTGTCTTTTCTGACTCTTGAAGGGTTCTAGTTAGGGATTTGAAACTTTTGTTTGTCTAAATACTGTTATATAATCTTCTCAATCTCTTCTTCACATAAGCACATCCCATCTATTTTTAGAAAACATCTATTTTTTATTGATCTCAGAGAGAAAGGGAGGAGAGAGAGAAAAAGAGAGAGGAAAAGAAACATCAACAATGAGGGAGAATCATTTATCAGCTGCCTCCTGCATGCTCCCTACTGAGAATTAAGCCCATAACCCAGGTAGATGCTCCTGACTGGAATCAAACCCAGGACCTTTCAGTCCGCAGGCCAACACTCTATCCACAGAGCCAAATTGGCTAGGGAATGATGAAGCCTTTTTTAAAAAAAGTTTTTTTTGACTTAGTAGGTCATCAAGCCATCTCAGATGCAGAAATCTTGTTATGTGGGGTTTCACCTGGATTGGTGTGAATGATGCATCTGCGTGTCCCAACAGGATGTGCTTTCACCATTTGTTTTCTTGATATAATCAAGGCTCAATTTTCTGCACAAAAATGACTCATGAACTTGCTCATCTATTTCTGGAGACTTCTTGGTTCTTGGTTGGCTTTCAATTTCTATCTCAATCTAAGGCCACTTTGTCTTGATACCCAAAAAGCTTCTGCTTAATATAATGATATCAATTTTAATTTTGCCCCCCCCCCAAATGATAACCGTTGTGCATGTTTGTGTGTGTGTGTGTGCATGTGTGCATACATACATATGCACATGTTATAATATCATAAGACTTGTGGGTGGTCTTTTTATTAAGTGTAGCTCCAGTGTTATTCACTTTAATGAGCAATTAAAATGGATATTTATTAATGCCTTCTGAGTGCTCTGATACACACTAGGGATACAGAAGTAAATGAGATAAAGGTGATTTTTGTCCTTATGCAGTAGCATCTAATGAGGAACACAGATATAAAAAAGAAAATAATTAGTGTAGTCAGAATTAAGAAAAGTTTACATGTCATGAATGTCATGGATGCTCAGAGATAATTTCCTGCTTTTGAGAGGAATTTACACTTACTATCAGTGTTTCTTTCTCTTATGTATTCAACTTCCTTTCAAATTGATTTTTTTTCACAATTGATAAATATGCTCTAATGCCTTTCAGTACAGCACATAAAAAAATTTCCCATCAACTTCACAAATACTGCTCACTATCTCTCTTTCTCTTAAAAAACAAGCTTCTCCAGTGAATCTACACTCATTGACTTCATATCTACATCTTACACTAATTCTCCACTCACAACAGTTGGCTTCTGTTCTTGGTACTCCACTAAAACACACTGGCACCCAAGCCAGGTTGGCTCAGTGGATAGAGTGTCAGCCTACAGACCAAAGTGTCTCGGGTTCAATTCCAGACAAGGGCATGTACCTTGGTTGCAGGCTCCTCCCCAGCCAGGGTCCTGGTTGGAGCTAGTGCAGGAGACAACTAATTGATGTGTTTCTCTCACATCGATGTTTCTTTTTGTCTTTCCCTCTCTCTTCTACTGTTCCTAAAAACCAATAGAAAAATATCCTTGGGTGAGGATTAACAACAACAAAAAACAAACAAACAAAAAAAACACACACTGGCTATCATTATGTTTCCCAGTTTTCTTCCTATCTCTGACACTGCTCTCCTTGGATCTTTTTGTAAGTTCACCATTCACTACCAAACCATTAAATAATGAATTTCCTTAAGGTTTGGTTTTAAAACCTTCTTATACTATGCATTCTCAGTTAACGAGCTTTTTCATGGCACTGCTTTATATCTACTACCTAGTCAAAGATATTTCAAAAATTTATGTCCCCATCCAGATCCCTCCTCTGTTCCAGAACAGTTTATCCAACAGTCATCATCACATCTCATTTTGCACATCATAAAGATAGCCCTGTCTTGATATATCTGCAGCCAATGTCATGCTTGGTTCCCTCAAACCTGGTCCTCCTCTGTTGTTCCTTATTCTTTATCCCTGTGAATGATATTACCTCCATTCAGTTTTGCAACCCAAACTCGGGAGTCATCTTTGTTATTTCTCTCTCATCACATATTTTCAATCCATATCTTTGTCTTGTCAAGGTTATCTCACATAACTTTCCAATATGTTTATTGCTTACCATCTCCATCACCAGTATGGTAACTTGTATTAAATCATCCATCTGTCTAGAGTACTGTCACAGTTTCTAATCTGTCTTCATATCAAATTTTGTCTCCTTCCCATTCATCCCCACATCTGTTAGAGTTTCAAAATCAGAAATCTGAACACATTATGTCTCTACCTCAAACATGTCAATAGCCTCCCATTGCTTTTTTGTTAAAGACTCACATTTTTAACAAAGTCTAGAGTGCCCTTCATAGATAGAATGGCTTCTGCCTGATTCATCCCCCCATATCATACCTGGCTTTTGTTACGCTTGCTTTCATTCGCTTCCTTGATTTTGCCATGTTCCTTCCTGCCATGTGGATTTTCATTTGCTCCATTTTTTTTTTTCTGTCCATGCTGTTAGTTACCTTACCCTTAGCCTAATTAAATTATAGTACTCCTTTATATCTTAGTTCAACTATTATAATGAACCAATCATCAGTTAGAAAATTTTCTCAGACCTATTATATTAGATCAGATTTTATAAACTCAGAACCATAAATCTCTATTATATTAAAGCTATTCTTTTTATTAGTACTTAAATTTAAATGACATATTTACTTAAATAATATTTATCCCCCTTTATAGTATCTAAATATCTTATTATATTTTCAATACTTATCACAATGCCTGTCACATAGGAGAAAGAATAAATGAATCAAGGTGCGTTTAAGCTGTGATAGGAGGAGTAAGAGTTAATCAAACAAAGATGGGAGACAAGAACTTTTTAGCCAAATGGAATTGCATGTCAAAAGACCTGAAAACAAGGGAGAGCTCCCAGATATTCAAGAAGAAAACATTTTGCATGAGGGGCAGGCAGACACTACCCTGTGGGTGACTTTTTAAAACATGGTAAGAAAAGTAGACTTATCCTGGTATGGACATCAGGAAGTCTTTGAGGGGTTCTGAATAAATGTGAAACAGATCACATGGTCAGGAGAGTGGGTTATTAGATCTTTAGGAAGGATGGTTGCAAGCAGGTTGGTTGGCAGCTTAAATTCAACCACAGTGGGAGTTCTTACACCTAGAATATAAGGTATGAATAAAGTGAGTCCATGAGGGAGCCCTAAAAAATATCAAGATTTAAGGGATAGGTTGAGGAAGGTGAGGCTTAAAGGAAATAAAAAAAGTGGGCTAGTGACATAGAAGGAAGACAGAAAAATGCGGTGTCTTGATGCCAGTGAAGTGGTTCAAGGGTAGAGTAAACCACATTTATTAGCACTGTAACACTGAGAACTCAGAATAATTAGAAAACAAATTTTGCACCCACAAAGATACTTTTCTGATTTCAAGTGTTATATGTATCATATAAATCTACTTTGGATCCTGAATGGATATAAATGATATATAGTTAAGAAAAGACAAATTAACATGGTCAAACTCTGTAGCTCTTTATACCATATGGCCAAATGTCATCCCATCACACAGTTCACAAGTTGTGGAGGTCACTGGAGCCCTCAAGGAGCTGTAGTGAAGGGGACATAGCATCCCTCACTTTCCTGGCTCTATCACCCTTATATATCCTGGGTAGACACACATACCTATTTTACTACTGATGACCTGTCAGTTCTCAAGATTATTTTATTTTTTAAAAATATATTTTTATTGATTTCAGAGAGGAAGGGAGAGGGAGAAGGAGATAGAAATATCAATGATGAGAGAGAATCATCCATTGGCTGCCTCCTGCACTCCTACTGGGGATGAAGCCCACAACCCAGGCATGTGCCCTGATTGGAAATTGAACTGTGACCTCTTGATTCATAGGTCAAGGCTCAACCACTGAGCCATGCTGGCCAGACAGATTAGTTTATTTTAAAGAAGATTTTAAAATTGCTTTTATTATCATATTTTGGTAAGGAGCAAGGCTATTAGTCAGAAGACACAAAGAACACAGATTCAATGCAATGACAGCTAATAGCTAGTGATACTGAATTCTTAGTGACAGGCACTGTTGTAAATATTTTATGAGCAACACTTTGGGGAACATGTTAGAGTAGTACCATCTGACAGATGAGGACACTGAAGCCCAAGGAGGTTCAGTCGGTGGAGAAGCAGGGCTATGTACTCCAGCAGAACAAGTCTTAGCTTGTATGCCAGGCTCCTCTAATGCTCTGAAGACTAGGATATGATGGATAGGAGCAGGGCTCTCGATGGCTTTTAATGTGCTCAGAACCAAAAATAACCTAAGTATAAAATCTCTATGTAAGTTTCTCTTTCCCCTCCACTGACTCTAAAAGTAATTCACTCTCATTATGGAAAATGTGTGAGATACAGAACTGTTGCAAGATGCAAGAT